AAACTTTGTAGACTACCAAAAGGGAGAAAAATCTTTTTTCAGTTAGTCGTAGAAGAGAGGGAGAAAAGGAAAGAAGAAAGAAAACATGCAATTTAGGGATTGGCATAATAGGGGTTTATTTGAAAGAAGATGGATAATAGATAAAGAATACAGAATAACGAAAGAAAGAATGGTTTATTAATGTCCCTTACACCTTGATGATAAAATACACAATTCATCTTGGTTCTATCTACTAAATATTATACTTTTGTAATTTTATTTATATATAATTGATTTTTCATACATGTATATTACTTAAAAATTATCTATTCGATTGCAATTCTTTGTTTTTTTTTCATAGACAGAGTTCCATCTTAGAATCAGTGCTATATGTAAATAATTTTTTAAGTATCATATGTCTTCACTATTTTTTACTTATAATATTTTTTGCCGTTTATTTTTCTGAATAATATCCGCACATTGCGCGGGTATATATACTAGTTGAAATGTTAACGGAGCGAGCTGACGGGCGTTAAGGGCCAATTAATTCTAGATTGCATAAATATATTCGATATACATGAACTTGATATGTTTGTGTACTCGAAAGTACAAGAAGAATTTTCAGAAACCACTATTGTTTAGTGGCTATTAACTTCCTATAGCTACCATATACATAATTACTTTCTATAGCTACTATTCAGTTGTTACGATAGTGTATTCGCTGTATTCGCACTGCTGTATTCATGAATACAGTAGCAAAAAGCGCCTAAAAATCAGGGTAGTCCAGCTGTATGCGCATGTATTCACGTGTATTCGTGCCATGTATTCATGAGTACAACAGCAAAAAGCGCCTATAATCAGGGCAGTCCAACTGTACGCGCATGTATTCACATGTATTCGCGCTGTTGTATTCATGAATACATCATTAAAAAGTGCCTAAAATCAGGGCAGTCCAGCTGTGCGTGCATGTATTCGCGTCATGTATTCATGAATACAACAACAAAAAGCGCCTAAAATCAGGGCAGTCCAGTTGTACGTGTATGTATTCACATGTATTCGCGCAATTGTATTCATGAATACAGCAGTAAAGAGCGCCTAAAATCAGGGCAGTCCAGCTGTATTCGCATCTATTCACATGTATTTGCGCCATGTATTCATGAATACAGTAACGTCAATCACCTTAAAAATTGGTATGTCCAGTTGTCTAGGAGAAAGGAAAAACATAAATAGCGTATTTCATGCTTTATTTCATGCCTCAATGGTAGTATCTACCAAAAATATTTATTTTGCTATAAAATATAAAAGGTAGCTATTTAAAATGATATTTTAAAATGATTTTAGTTTATAATAAATAGGGTGTATACCTTTGCCATATGAGGTAAAATTTTCAAAGTACAACTACACGAACAACATACTCACAAGTAGGGCCTAGGAAGGATAGTATGTACGCAGTCTACGTTATGAAGGTAGAGAGGCTATTTACTAAAGACCCTCAACTCAATATAACAAAATCACAGCAGTTATGACAAAGATCTACGGCAAACGAAATAGTAATAACATCCAGGAAAAAATAAAATGAAGCAAAAAGAACCTAGGTAAGAAAATATCAATCTAACAGGGAACACAAGGGTAACACTAGTACTGCGGCTACGGAAGGAAGTACAAATGTGGAAAGGAAATATGCTCGACTACTAACTAACCTACAACCCTAATCCTCGGCCTCCACACCCTTCTATCAAGGGTCATGTCCTCGGTAAGCTAAAGATGTGCCATGTACTGTCTGATCACCTCTCCCAGTATTTCTTAGGCCTACCACGTGCCCTCCTTGAACCCGCCATAGCCAACCTGCCACACCTCTTCACAGGAGCATTTATTGCTCTCATCTTCATGTGATCGAACCATCTCAGTCTAGCTTCCCGTATCTTTTCCACCATACAGGTCACTCCCACCTTATCTCGAATATCTTTATTCCTATTCCTATCCCTCCTAATATGACCACACATCCATCTCATCCTCATCTCCGTAACTCTTAACTTCTGAACATGAGATGTCTTGACTGACCAACACTCTGCCTCATACAACATGGTCGGTCTAACCACTACTTTGTAAAACTTACTTTTAAGTCTTGGCGGCACATTCTTGTCGCACATGACGCCGGATGCAAGCCTCCACTTCATCCACCCTGCTTCAATACGATGTGTAACATCATCATCAATCTCCCCTTTTTTGGATTAGACCCAAGATACTTAGAAATTTCTCTCTTGGGTATGACTTGTGTTCCCAGCCTCACTTCAATATCAGCCTCCCGCGTCACGTCATTAAACTTACACTCCAAGTATTCTGTTTTAGTCTTTCTCAACTTGAAACCTTTGGACTCTAGGATCTGCCTCCAGATCTCCAGCCTAGCGTTAACACCGCCTCGAGTCTCGTCATCAGTGCCATGTCATCTGCAAATAACATGCACCAAGGTAACTCCCCTTGAATGTTTCGTGTCAACTCATCCATCAACAAGGTAAATAGAAACGGGCTAAGTGTTGAACCCTGATGCAACCCCACCTCTACTGGGAAGTGCACCGATTCTCCTCCCACCGTTTCACTCAGGTTTTGACTCTATCGTACATATCCTTAATCGCTCTAGTGTATGCAACAGGTACACCTCTAGCCTTCAAGCATCTCCACAGAACCTCCCTAGGGACTTTGTCATATACTTTTTGCAAATCGATGAATACCATGTGTAAGTCCTACTTCCTCTCCCTATATTGTTCCGCCAATCTCCTAACAAGATGAATGGCTTCTGTCGTCGAACGCCCCGACATGAATCCGAAATGGTTTTCAGAGATAAACACACCCCTCTTTATTCTCATCTCCACCACCCACTCTCAAACCTCCATAGTGAGGCTAGTAGTTTGATACCCATGTAGTTGTTGCAATTTTGAATATCACCATTGTTCTTGTATAGTGGGATCATTGTACATCACCTTCACTCATTGGGCATTCTTGTCGTTCTAAAAATGACATTAAACAACCTCATAAGCCACTCCAGGCCTGCTTCTCTTGCGCTCTTCCAAAATTCCACCGAGATCTCGTCTGGCCCAGTCGCTCTATCCATGCTCATCTTGCGCATCGCTCTCTCTACCTCCTCCATCCTAACATGCCTACAATATCACAATCACGATGGTTCTCCGAGCGCTCCAAATTACCTAGCACAATGTTCGTATCCCTCTCTTTATTCAAGAGTTTGTGGAAATATGTCTGTCATCTATGTATAATATATGCCTCTTCCACTAGTACTTTGTCATCTTATTCTTTAATGCACTTTATTTGATCCAGGTCCCGAGCCTTCCTTTCTCTTGCCTTAGCTAGCCTATAAGCATCCTGTGAGCAGTTAACAACTACATAAGCTCGCTATAATTATCCTAATAGACAAAGACAACAGTTCAATAGAAAAATACTTCAAAGATCAATTTCTTTTTGAACATGATTTTCGGTTAAAAAAAATATTGATTTCTTAAGTAAAATCATTGCTTCATTTAAAATACTCCTCAAATCAGTTTCTCAACTTCAAAATTTTCTCTGTCAAGCTAAGTTGAAATGTTATAATAAGTAATATTTTGTAAATAATTTCAAGTTGAACTTGAAATAATAGAATATTTTTGCATTTCTTTTTTACTCCCAACTTCAAACTCGGTAAGATATTGATAATATCCCATTCTTTGGGCATGTCACTCTCATTCTAGAAAATAAATTCTTTATTCATGTGACAAAATAGATTCTCGAATAATAGATCAATCGATCATAAATTCTAAAACAATTAGAGAAACGTAAAAGGACAAACCGATACACTTAGCTCCTGCTATGCACAGAATTTGAAGAAAAGTTGGATCATAATGAATTCAAATTTAACTTGCACTTATGCAAATGACTATTTTTTACAGCGTGAACCCGTAATCTGCTTGGGGGGTTGGGGGGGGGGGGTGGGGGGGGGGTGGGGTATCGGGAACTAGGTCGTACAGTTAGTATGTT